CTTTCTTCTGCTGCTACGTGTGGATCGCAGATTATCTAGGAAGGGGGAGGTCCCTTTTCACGTATTCATTCAAACACCCAGTAGAGGCCTTGCCATCTTCAGCTACACCCTCTGAAACATGCAGTTAACACGGCAGAGGGAGAGGCATTGGACGATTGTGTGCTGGCTTTTCTACACCTCAACCCAGAAATGACACACATCTCTTCTTCTCCAGCTCATTGTATAGAACTAGTACATGGCTCTACCTAGCTGCAAGGGGGCGGGGCAAAGAAATGTGGGGAGCAGAGGTTATGTTTGAGCACCACTATTTTTGTTCAACATGATATATCATTTTTATTGATGATAAAATAGCAATAGTTGAATTGATTGACCTCTTGATATGGGCTGGGCAGCATGTTCCCCTTTGTATATACATCTCTGTTCATCTCTAGGACTCTCCTAAGAGGGACATACAATATTATTATCCCCCTTTTTATAGGTGATATTCTGAAGCCTGGAGAGATTAAATAATTTGGACAAATTCACCCTGAAACATTTGAAAGAACTAGGATCGGCAGGCAGGCCACCTGACTGCACAGCCCAGACTTCCAACAGCTTCCCTTGGCTGCACTGATAAAACAGAGACCAGTCGGCCTGGGTGTTGAAGGTCAGAGAGGACCACACAGAGGAAAGAATGGGTCCACCTTCTTAGTTCTGAAAATAAGAGCAAGTATTTCCTTAAACATCCCCAGACCACGTCCGTAGTGGTAAAACAAATGAGTGTTTTGTTTTAAAAAAATTGCAAGGAGGTATACATATTTCCAGGCTTTTAAGAAAGAAATAGATATGAGAAAGCTCACATGAGGTCCTGACATCACATAGACCGAGACTTTAATGAAGATTTAATTTTCGTTGCCTAACTTGACTGTGGGGATCTGATGACTAGGGGCTCTTCCTTCTAAGCTTCCAGCCAACCCCCCATATCTTCACAAGCACTCTCAGCTAAAATGCATACAAATGTCATCCTCTGATATCCCAAGTCAAGTTCAGGTTAGAGGACCAACCTGGGATCAGGAACCTCCTGAGATATCTACTCCCACGACACTAAATGTTGCCCCCTGAGATTTGTTGTATGAAAAGGTCATTTTCTCTGCCTTGATATTTGCAAGAGCACAGGCCCCAGTTGTGTTCCACAGAGCAGCGCCCCACAGGTGGGGAAGGAGCTTTTTCCAGCACGATGCTCTCCTAGATGCCAACCTCCATACTCCCTCCCTCGTACCCTCACCTGTCTGTTCCCAGGACAAAAGTAAGTATCAAGAAACATACCATCACAGACAATTAGAATGGCGAGTAGCTCTAGAAGGTCCAATGGTTTTTACTTCGCAAATGAGGAGGATAAAGCCCAGAGAGGTTAAATAGCTAGACCATGGATGCACTGTTAGCTAGGCAGTTTCTTACTCCCTGTCCACCACTTCCCTTCCCCATGCCACCCTCCAGCATCCAGACTTCCATGCTCATTACAATCAGATGTCTTATATAAATGGCTGGAGTGATGGTTAGACTCAAAAATGGAGACTGCACCTCCTAATTTTCTTTGATTTACAGTATACTACAAGAGTAGGTGCAAATGTCATAGCTCCCTTTCTGAATTTCAGAGGTTGTAGAACTTTCAGCATCTATTTGGAATCTCAAATGTAACGCCATTTGATTTAGGAACATCAAAGTCTGGACACTCAATATTATTGACTGAATCTCGTGCAGTAACCAAGAAGAGATGAGATAAACTGTATAGAAAGTAAATGGCTCAGATTGCCTGATTTTAAAATGCTAGCATCTTTTATTGTTTTTTAAATAACTTTCATATTTATTGTCACATCAGAACAGGATAACAGTCTACGGGGGAGATAAAAATATTTTTCATCTTATGAATTAAGAAGATCTGGCCAGCAGCAGGCCTGCACCAAGCTAATTATCAGGAAGAGTAAGATTAGAATTGGTCTTGTGTTTGTAGTACAAGCTTATCCACACCCCTACACCTCTGAATTTCTGGATCAAAAGGAGCTATTTTGTGCCCCTTTGTACCTACAAGTATTATAGATAAAGTATTCGGTCAATACATTGGCCATTCTTGGCGCATCAGTAGAATACAGAAATTAACTTTTTTTCCCAAAAATAAATTTAGTCAGATTCACATGTTTGTATATTTGGACCAAATCTGGCAACTCCAGCGAGCACGGACATCTAAGAATTGATGAACCAGTCTCAGTAGCGTGTCCTGGCATATTCTAGTTAGGTTTGTGGTCATCCCATAACACTTTATATACACTTTATTATTGTACTCATCACTTTGGGGAAATAATTTGTAGATCTGGCTGTCTCTACCTCCTTAAAAGGTCAGGAATCAGGTTATTCATTTTGTAATACTAGCTTCTGGTACAGAGCTGGTTTATGTGCAAAGCCAGTTAGGAAAAGAATAAGAAAAAGAGAGAACTAACAGTGAATACATTCCATGTGCTAGGCATTGTATTAGTAGGGTTCCGAATGTCATTTAATTTCATCTTTTCAGCTCTGTAAAATAAATACACTGGATATTGAACTGGGTATTTCACAGACAATGAGACTGAGATTCACAGAGTGTCAGTAATGTCTCCAAGGCCACGTCCCAACAAGTCACTAATCAATGAGTGACACGTATCTGTACAATTGGAAAAAATATATTCTTATACGGTATTTGGCGTAAAAAGTCACCTTAGGCTCTTCTTCTAAATAGATTATATTCATAATCCGACACATTTTTCCTCTCTTTCAGGGTTCACTCCTACCTGTCTCATTTGTACCAATTACTTTTGTACATCACTTACTTATTGGGATTTGATTGTGCCATGCATTTTACTAATCGGTAATACCTATCTGCTTATAATTGTCTGTTTGTACAGCTGTGTTTACCAATTCATCCTTTTATCCATGATGCTTCTTCTGCTTGCTGTAATAGTAGTAATAGTAGTCGTCGCAGCAGTGGTGTGGTAACAGCTTAAACTCTTGAGTACTTGCTGTGTAACTGACATTGTTTTAAGTGCTTTGCACCATCTAAGTTATTCCATTCATCCAACATAAAAGTTGAAAGCTGTGTATTTCCCACCTGAAAGAAGAGGAAGCTGAAACACAGGAAATTAATTAATTTGACACACTATATTGAGATGGATACATAACATTATGAATTTTAGACCATATTGCCTGGGCTCAGATCCCAACTCTACCACCAGATTTACTATTTGAGCAAGTAATTTACCTCTTTAAACTTTACTCAGTCCACATAAAGTAAAATGGGAGAGTAATTAATAATAGTACCTGCCTCACAGAATTGCTAAATGTATTAAATGAGTTAATATTTATGAACAACTTAGAACAGTTTTCCTGACATAAAATATGTGCTGTATAAGTGTTTGCTAATATAATAACGAATAAACATTATTATAATTCCTTTAGTCTCCAAGTGACAACTCAGGAGTTCTCATCTTCAGAAAGCCTTCCTGCATTTCTGCACTGGGTTAACTACACACCCTTCCTCCTTTCAAAGTGCCCTGGGCACCCTCCACTTTAGAAATAAATTATGATTGACATGTCTTTAGGGTATATGTCTCTCCCAGTAGGCAATCTTTAAAGACAAAGGCTATCTCACATCCTTCCTTGAATATTAAGAATGGCTAATTCAGGAGAAACGAATGTGACTTAAGATTCCAGAGTCAGAAGTGTTCCCTAGCTTGAGAGAGCCTCTCGTACACAATAGGCTGCCAGCTGAGTCACCACCGGAGGCGAACACCACCAGATACACTATGTAACGTGGCAGGAGAGCTATGACTTGCTTGACGGCCCAGAGTTTGTAGGTGAGAACAAAAGTAGCTCTTCCATCTCCCCTTATCCTCCCTCCCCACAAACAAAGCAAAGACACAGATGATGGTGGAAGATGGAAAAAATTCAGCCCATTGGAAAAAAATATATAGATCATTGCATGGAGAGAAAGCAACTAAAGTTTTCCTTCAACTTTTTGAAAGACAATTCCTTTAGTTTTAGAATTATTGAAAGATGCCAAAATATTACTAAGAACGTTCCAGAAACCATGAAGTTTCCTTTAGGGGACCGATAGGTGAAGCGGAGCGCCAGCGAAGGGCTCTTATGAATTAGAAAGCAAAGTGTAGCCTCTGAAGCAGGGCTCTAAATCACCACATGCCCTCAGCTAACTTAAACAATTAGTGAGGGGTCCCTCAGAGACAAGAAATATATGTGATGGGACTTCTCAGCACCATGTACCAATGGTTGACAAAATGTTTTCTAAATTTTGCTTTCTGTTGATTAAGCTTTCTATCTATATCTTAGACAAATATGCTCGCAAGAGAAGGCAAGTAGTAAGAAAGGGTCCTATGTGGTTTCATGTAATAGAGTGTACTCTACAGCAAGCAAGCTGAGATGTGGCCTGAAGTCATAATACGGTCCTGCTGCGGCAGCCACAGTCAGCAAGGGCATGCCAGTGCCTTTCCGTAACACTTCTAGATGAACAGTCGCACTCATCCCACCCCTACCCACCATTCGGTCCACCTTCCCTACGTGCATCTGCCCTTGACACGGAGCTGACGCATGTGAGCAAGAGACCCTGTCCACACTTTGGTTTCCATGATAATGATCAAATAGCATGACCCTATGTTTGCTTATCTTGTCTAGGTGCCGCTCATGATGAGTCCCAAATGACCCTGATGGAGAACATTTCAGAGGTGACTGAATTCCTTCTTATAGGGTTAACAGATGTCCTAGAGATGCAGGTCCCTTTATTTACAATCTTCACTCTCATTTACCTCATCACTCTGATCGGGAACCTTGGGATGATGGTGTTGATTCTGTTGGACTCTCGACTCCACACTCCCATGTATTTTTTCCTCAGTAACCTCTCCCTTGTGGATTGTGTATATGCTTCCACTGTCACTCCCAGAGTAATGGTGGGGTTTCTCACTGGAGATAGGATTATATCTTACAATGCGTGTGCTACCCAGATGTTCTTCTTTGCAGCCTTTGCCACTGTTGAAAGTTTCCTCCTGGCCTCAATGGCCTTTGACCGCCATGCAGCCGTGTGTAAACCCCTGCATTACAGCACCACCATGACAGGTACTATGTGTGCCTTACTGGTCACCAGCTCCTACATCTGTGGACTCGTGCAATCTTCCATCCATGTTGCCCTGACTTTCCACCTCTCCTTCTGCCGTTCCAACATAGTCAATCACTTTTTCTGTGACATCCCCCCACTGCTGGCCCTCTCCTGCTCTGATATCTACACAAATGAGATTGTGCTCTTCACATTGGCAGCGTTCAGTATCTTTTTCACTATCTTGGTTATCTTGGACTCTTACTTGTTCATTTTTATTGCTATCCTGAGGATGCACTCAGTTGAGGGACAGAAAAAGGCATTCTCTACCTGTGCATCCCACCTCACCATGTTTCCATCTTCTATGGGACATGTCTTCATGTACTTACAGCCCAGCTCCAGCCATTCCATGGCCACAGACAAAATTGCGTCTGTGTTCTACACCATGGTCATCCCTATGCTGAACCCTCTGGTCTATAGCCTGAGGAACAAAGAGGTTAAGAGTGCATTTATGAAGGTGGTTGGAAAAGTGAAGTCTTCATTGGGCTTAGCTTTCTGATTAGAAATAGCAAGCAGAGCATTTGAAACTTCTATTGGGCTTCTAGGGTCTAAGAATGTTTTTTAAATTTTAATTCTTTCTTGTCTTTCATTTCTTTGAGCAGATCCTTCCAAATGAAACTTGTTCTACTCAAACTTTGGGAATTTGACTGGGTAGGAGAAATTCTGGATGTCTTTTGCCAGAAACAGAATATTGCTTCTATCTTAAGAGAAGGATTATAATCTTAGATATTATGGGGTCTTACATTGCATCACTCAGTTGGTCTAAAGTGCTTTGCAAGCAAATCTCATAAGTGTTTGACACCAGAGTTATATTTCAATTACTAGAATTTAAAAGAGCTCTATGATTCTTTTACACAGCAGAGGGACATGGCTCTCAGATATTCATGTTCCTAAGAATTACCTTGAGAGACTTGAAACAGAGAATTCCAGGATCTAATTTCAGATAATCTAATTTACTTTATCTCTGGCAGAGCCCAGAAATCTGTAGAATTACCCCCCATTATCCACATTATACTTGGATCCTGAATTTCGATTGTAAGAAAGTCAGTGGTAAGTCTGGATAATAAGGGACACTATATAAGATGAATCTATTTAGCTCCTGAGTTACAGAGAGAAAAACACAGTTCAGGAGGCAAAACTATATCCATTCCTTACCTGAGTTCTAATACATAAAGTTCATGTGAGAGAGTCTGGATAGGGAGGACCGCCTGCATTCTTCACAAGCTTTCCCTGCATTTCAGCTGAGATTGGTGTGCAGATCGCACTTTGAAAACCGTTTCTCTAGAGCAGTGGTTCAAAAGCATCATTACCAAACCCGCAGCATCAGCAGCACCTGAATTTTTCACAAATGCTAATTATAGGAACCCCCAACCCAGACTTACAGAGTCAGAAACTCTAGGGGTACAGCCAAGCTCTCTGCATTTTAACAAGCCCTCCTGGTGATTCTGAAGCAAGCTCAGGTTTGGAAAGCAATGGACTCAAGCAACCAAGAAACAATAGCCTACAGCAGTGGTTCCCAACTTCAGCTGCACGTTGCAATAATCTAGGGCAGATTTTTTAAATGCTGCTGCCTGGATCCACCTCCAGAGAGTATGATTTAATGGATCTGGGGATAATACCTCCGTGCCAGGAGATTTTAAAATGTAGTTACTTCCCCAGAACCTGATGCATAAGAGAGATTGGGACCAAAAAAAGGTAATATTCTTTTAGAATCTCCTGCTTGCTCAATTATTTGCATATCCTGTATCATTAAGAGCCAATGGTAACTCTGAGAGAATCAACATATGGAGGAGGGGAAATGGAGGCTCAGACCTGGGTAGAAAAATTTAACCCAAGTCTGTGGGACTCCAAAGCGTATTTTTTCCAGCTTAGTTTAGCTATCAGTTGTTTAACATCACGGCATATTGTGGTAGGCATAATGTATATTAAGATTTAAAAAATTCTCTTTTATCAAGGACCACTAGTCTTCACAGTATAACACAATTATCTTTGTAACTAAAGCATTAAAAGGACTGAAAAAGACATGGAAAAGGCAGAATAACGTTGATCTAGCTTCTTTCTTAAAAGTGTTTAAAGGTCTTTCCATGTTGATATTCTACAGACTCCCCAGATCCCCACCACTTTATGACACTCTCAGCAGGAGCGCATTAAACAGCATAGGTTTTTGAGGTCGTCAGAGGTAAAGGGGATTGGAAGTACACGTTGCTGTTTCTTCCAATGAAGCCCTTGTTATCCTGGAAGGTTTGTCATCCCTGTTCTCTAGAAGCTTTGCTATCCATCATTAGAAGCTTCACTTGGATAAGGAAGTTTAGCTAGAAAATTTGCATGCCCCAGTGAACATCCGCTTTTAGGACAGTTGAACACCACAAATCTTGAAATCTGATGGGCTCACCTTCATCAAATCCCAAAGGTCCGATTTCTTTACTGACAAGACATGGGAAAAGAAGAGTATAAGATGAATGTGTACCCAGAACGCCTCCATGCCCTGACCTTTTGAGTCTTAGTGGGTTGGTGTGTGGTATTAGTCACAAAGAGTTGTGCAGCACACACAGCTGCAAGTTTAGACAGCAATGTAACCACATCTCACACTTGGTGTTAGACAACAAAATATTATAACAATTCATCCATCTCCTGTCCAATATGCTACTGTAACTTTTTTTTTAATGGGTAATGAATGTATACAACTTAAAGTTTCTGTCTGGATTATAACTGGGAATGGAAGCTGCTATAGACTGAATGTTTGTGTGCCTCTAAAATCCATATGTTAAGTCCTAATGCCCAATGCGATAGTAATAGGAGGTGGGGTCTTTGGGAGGAGCCAGATTCAGGGTCTGGTGGAGCCCCCATGAGTGAGATTAATGTCATGAAAGAGACCCCAGAGAGCTCCCTTGCCCCTTCCACCTCATGAAGACACAACAAAAAGATGGTAGTCTATAAACCAGGAGGAAGGCCCTTACCAGACACTGAATCTGCCAGCACCCTGATCCTGGACTTCCTAGCCTCCAGATTTGTGAGAAATAAATTTTTTATTGTTTATAAGCCACCCAGTCTATGGTGGTTTGAAGCCTGAGCAGACTAAGGCAGAATGAGCTCAACCCTCCCCCAAGCTACCAACTGTGACTTTGATTCTAATGAGACATTGAGCTCAAGATCAATGGTGCAGCCATTACGGAAAACAGTAGGGAGACTCCTCAAACAATTAAAAATGATCCAGAAATCCCACTCCTGGGCGTATATCCAGAGGGAATTTTAATTCAAAAAGACACCTGCACCCCAGTGTTCACAGCAGCACTACTTACAGTAGCCAAGACATGGAAACAGCCTAAATGCCCACTGACAGCTGACTGGGTAAAGTTGTGTTATATTTATACAATGAAATACTACTCAGTCATAAATAATAAAATAATACCATTTGCTGCAACATGGCTAAACCTGGAGATCATCATTCTAAGCGAAGTAGGCCAGAAAGAGAAAGAAAAACACCGTATAATATCACTTATATGTGGAATCTAAAAAAAAAGGCAAATGAATTTATTTACAAAACAGAAACAGACTCACAGACATACAAAACAAATTTATGATTACCGGTGCGGAGAAGGGTAGGAAGGGACAAATTGGGAGTTCAAGATTGCAGATACTAACTATCATATATAAAATAGATAAATAACAGGTTTATACTGTATAACACAAGAAACTATATTCCATATCTTGTATTAACCTATAATGAAAAAGAATACGAAAACAAATATATGTATGCATATGTATAACTGAAACCTTATGCTGTACACCAGAAATTGACAAAACATTGTAAACTGACTATACTTCAATAAAAGTATATATACACAAAAAAGATAGTATTATGTGTATTTTACAAATACATTCATACATACATACATACATACACACACACACACACACTTTAAAAAAGAAAGAAAAAAGACTATGAGGAAGAATGGAAGCCAGGAAACCAGTTCGAAAAAAGGATGCAGAAATTCAGGTAGTAGACGATGATATACTGGAGCAGAGCTGTAGAGGTGGAAGCAGGAGTCACATTCTGCATCATTGGGAACGTGGAGCTGAAAAGATTTGCTGATGGGTTGGATGTCGGAGTGGAAAAGAAAGATATGACTCAAGCAGTGAGTTGTCATTTACTTCAGAGAGGAGAAA